GATTTTGGAATCTGAAAGATCTGGGTTTGAATCCCAACTCTGTCACTTTAACTGTGAAGTGGGGATATTGACCCCAACCTTACAGGAATGAGATGCGATGATTTGTATTAAATGCCCAGCATAGTGTCTAATAATTGCTGTGTTCTCAGGGCCCATCTAAACCAGGGGGAAATGATTTTTTCTCCCTTATTCGCCTCAGCAGTGCTGCTTGGCATTTGCCCACTGTGGAGGCTGCCCAGGGACGTGGGGAGCTTGCAGAGAAATTCAGCCGAAGACCCTCAGACCCCTATCCATTACGGTCCACGGGCTTTTAAAGCTCTGCTTTGGGGAACTTTGGGAACTTGGTCCTCCTCAGATGTCAGCTCAACAGACTGCCTTTCATTTAAAACCACTTCTCTCTGGTTTGATAAGACCTTCCAAGAGCAAAAACAAAAGCAAAACATCCTAACCCCAGCCAGGTTACTGAGGTCAGACATGAAGTTAAAAAAATAAGAGGTGGTCATCGAGATATTTTTATCATTTAAAGCATATTATAGATTTCTTATTGCCTCAAAAAAAATTTTTAAAGTTCCACCCCAAGCAGGTTAAAATGATATGCCCACGGAGGAGGGGCAGGAACACCTAATCTCCTCACACCCCCCTGCCATCTTCCTCCCCACTACAGACACAGTAATTTTCCAGAACAGATCTGATCAAGCAAGTCTCCTGCTGAAATCCTTTAACGGGTTCCCATTACACTCAGGATAAAACCCCGGTACCTTTACGTAATATACCTGGGTCTGTCCATCTGTTTACCTTTTCAGCCTTTTTTCTTATTGCTTCTTACTTGTGCTTTTCAAATCAATTCTAACCAGGCTCCCACAGTTCATAAAATCTGAAACGTTGTCAGCCATAAGATGCACCATCATTTTTGTGACATCAAGGAAGAATTTCTGCGGATTACAATTATAAAACACTTATAATTTTTGTTTTGGGTTGGGTTTTGTATATGTATTATTCAAGTATAGTCAGTTGACAATGTTGTGTCCCCAGACACAGCTACATTTCAAGAGGGATTGATAGGAAAATGATCTTGGTAGGTGAAAGGCTTATAAAAGGTTGCCAGAAATTTTTGCTTGTGTTTACTCTTTACTGCTTTTTTACTTAATTTTGTAAACTACTCTTTTGCAATTGGTTATTTGGCGCCATAACCTATTTGTTTTTGAATGAATCTGAACCACTTTTCTTAAGTATAGACTGCCCTGGTGGGGGTGGGGGTGGGGTCCCTGGGCTCCTGGCGGCCTCCTGTCCGTGGCAAAACAATGGGACACTTTGCTCAGACTTTCTGGAAGCTTTGCTGAACTTAGACTGAAACCATGATTGAGGTTTCACTGAAGTCCCTGAAGGCACTTTGTAGGGCGTGTGGTATCTCCCTGTGTCCAGGTGACAGGGGCGCCTCAGGCTGTTCTTGCCCAGCTAAGGGAAGGCCCGAGTCTCCAGCTGGGGGAGGAGGCCCCAGGAGCAGCTCTGCCAGCGCAGTCATTGTTCCCACCCTGGAACCATAGTTTGGCCTAGGATCCCGAGATAATGTGTGTTTTAGGCTCAGTGGAGATGTTCAGCCCTGGGCCTCTTAAAGGGGTTCCTCCTTCCATTCCTGACTCAGACCCCAGGCCCAGGGCAGGGAGGCTCCACTCCTGCTGGGAGCCTTTCTCCATTGCACCGCATCCTGGTGACTCTCCTCGGTGTCCACCCCTGTACGGGGCACCCTGCCCCTCCCCAATTTCATCCCCCTCTTCCTACACCCTCTGGGGTACCCACAGGGACAAGGGTGAGGCTGGAGAGGCTCCTAGATGCCAAGTGACAGCATGGGCTGCCCCTCGGGGTCTGAGAGTCAGTCCCCAGCAGTGGAGAGGGGAGTGGAGTGCTGGGGACCCACAGAAGCACGTTAGGAAAAGACATCAAGTTTGGTCCTCAAGTTAATGATGCACTAAGAGATTCACAAACACCAAGAGCGACCTCACAACACTCGAGAGGCCTCCAGTGATGCCAAGAGCTGGGGAAGTGGTGAGAAGGATGACCCAGAGCGAAGCAGTGCCTGGGATGGAAATCAATCAAGCAGCCGTGTTTACAGAGTAGGAAATGGATGCTTTTAATTGCTAATTGGTCTTGAGACCCCTACAAAGATATATATATATATATTTAAATGTGGCCTAAATGCTCTCCTTACAGGAGCAGGGAAGGAATTACAGTTTATTCAGAGGCTAACATGCTGCTGATTGAAGTACAAAGAATAGTAATCAAGGTTGGCTTTATTTTTTTTTCACATGGCTTTTAACATTTACAAAGAAAATGATTTCAAGGGGTGCAGGCTAGAAAGAAACAAGCTGCTGTAAACAGTTACCCATCAGCCAAACGCTCCCGTCACTAGGAATACTCCCCCACCCTCACGTCTTGCCACCCCCTCCCCATAATCGGCATTGGAATGCAACAGGAATTATCCTTTTGTCCGTGACTCTCAGGGAAGGGGGATGAAGGGTCAGACCTGAGGGCATCCGGGCATCCAGGGTGCTCTGAGTTCCCAGGACCTTGTCTTGGATAACTTCCCAGACACAAAGCTCCCTTCCCAGCACAGGCAGGGAGGCAGCCTCACCTGATGCCCCCAACTCGGGGGAAAGGAGGGGAAGCTTCCCAGCCTCACATGCCTGCTCCTCAGAAGTAGCCTCTGGAGCCCCTCAATACTGCTTTTTAATACAGGAGAAAGGCCAGAGAGTCTGAGGACAGGAAACTGGACCAGCGTGGACGGCAAGCCTGTGGGCTACCCTTGAAGAATTCCACCCTTGCTGGCATATTGAGTGAGAAAGTGGCCTTTCCCTGGAGTCCTCAAGCCCTAGTGGTGTCTCACAGGACAGGTTACAATGTCAGTGGGTTGACAGACCTGGGAATCTCAAGCTCATTGGTAATACAATGTGTTTGAATCTCCCTTGAGTCAAGGGGGATGGATAATGCTGTTTACTGCCTAATGCCAGGGCAGAATCAAGCCAGGATAAGCCTTGAGAAACATCCTTGTGCTATTACAAAAACTAATTGTATTTTTCTAGCACAGCCCTAAACAATTTAGAATGTGAAATTTTAACAGTTTATAATAGCATTAGGAAAACTGAAATACTTTGGGATAAATTTGACAAAATAAGCATAAAAATCACACACTGCAAGCTAAAAAATACTGAAAATAAATAAACGGAAGAGACAAATACCAAACTCATAGACTGGAGGACTCAACGTTATTTCAGCGTCAGTCTCCCAACATGGAACTATATATTCAAGATAGTTTTAAAATTTATACGGAAATGCAAAAATAATCAGCACTGCCAGAACAATTTTGGAAAAAAAGGACAGCGCTGGTTGCAAGGGAATAATCACACGTTGCCATAAGGATACAACATAGCAATGGAACACAGGATCCAAAACAGACCCACACTTACATGGTAAATTAATTTTTGTAAAAATGTCAAGGACATTTGAGAAAGTCTTCACCAAATGGTGCTGGGGCCACTGGCTATCTGTAGGGGAAAAAGAGGGAGTGCTGTCAAGGATGTGAAGCAACTGGATGTTCATGTGCTGTTGGGAATACAAAATGGGACAGCCAATTTGGAAGAACACACAGCATCTCAAGAAGTTAAACGTGCATTTCACTTCCATTTCTATGGAAGTGTATATCCATACAACGGCATGTATATAAATGTTTGTAGCATCATTATTTATAACCGCCCAAAGTGGACGCAACACAAATGTCCATTAATTGGTGGACAGATAATGTTGTTTACCCATGGGTATGCTATGGACTACTACTCAGCGACAAAGAGGAACAGATCACAATATAACACGGACACATCTCGAAACTGTTAGGCCAAGTGAAAGGCTTCACATACAGAAGGCCCCAAGCTACATGTTTCCGTTTATACAGAATTCTAGAAAAGGCAAGGCTCTAGTGACAGAAACCTCAGTAGCTGGCTGAGGTCGGGGGGAGAGGAGGGGTTCATTTATTTTAGGGTAAGGGAATTGTTCTCTACCTTGATTGTGGTAGAGGTTATATAATTGTATGAAATTACTAACATTCGGCAAATCCTTCACTTAAAGTAACTGTATATAAATAGTTTTAAAAATAAGGGTCCTTAGAATGTCATTCTAAGTGAAGTAAGCCAGAAAGACAAAGAAAAATACCATATGAGATTGCTCATATGTCGAATCTGAAAAAAAAACAAACCACAAAGCATAAATACCAAACAGAAATAGACTCATAGACATAGAATACAAACTTGTGGTTGCCAAGGGGGTGGAGGGTGGGAAGGGATAGACGGGATTTCAAAATTGTAGACTAGATAAACAAGATTATACTGTATAGCACAGGGAAATATACACAAGATCTTATGGCAGCTCACAGAGAAAAAATGTGACAATGAATATATGTATGTTCATGTATAACTGAAAAATTGTGCTCTACACTGGAATTTGACACAACATTGTAAAATGATTATAAACCAATAAAAAATGTAAAAAAAAAATAGGGGTCCTTGATTCTGACTGTGAGTCCTAGGAATTAGAATAGAAAGAGGACCGGCAGTGTCGCCTAGAGACCTGTGTGGCAGGCTTGACTTGGCTTTCCCTGCATTATCTAATTTGGAATAATTCATCCAACCCTCCTGAGCTTCCGGTCTTACACAAAATAGGAAAGAAACATACTGTCTTTGTCTTCCTCACAGGGATGTTCGTGAGGGCAAAGTCAAAATGCTCTGGAGACTAAGACCGTGAGCCAGCAGCAAATCAGCACTCCTATCCAGAACGAGCAGAAGGGCTAGGCAACATACAGAAATGATCAATTTATACATATTTATTAAATTGATTCATTTATAAATTATTAAGTAATAATTAAAGGCAGAAAGGTTCTGAGGGAATGAGAGCTACAGGGGCTGACTCCTGTATCAGTTTTCTGTTGCTGCTGTAACAAACAGTCACAAACTGGGTGGCTTAAGACAACACACATTTATTATCTCACAGTGACACAGAAGTCTGGGAAAGGGTCTCCCTGGGGTAGGACAGATGTCGGCAGGCCTGCGTTCCTTCTTGAGGTTCTAGGGCAGAGTCTGTTTCCGTGCCTTTTCCAGCTCCTAGAAGCTACTCGCATTCTTGGGCTCATGGTCCTCTTCCTTCACCTTCAAAGCCAGCAATGCAGTATCTCTGACCCTTCTTCCTTCATCACCTCTCTTTCTGATCCCAGCCAGGAAAGGTTCTCTACTTCTAAGGACTCATGTGATTAGAATGGACCATCCAGATAATCCAGGTTCATCTCTCTCTATCAAGGTCTTTAACTCACTCACATCTTCAGAGACCCTTTTTACCATGAAAGTCATGTATTTACAGGTCTGGGGGTAAGGATACAGACGTCTTTGGGGAGCCACTGTTCTGTCTACCACAACTTCAGAGAGGGGAGAACCCCAGAGACCCCTTCTATCCTGGGGTCTCTGGCCAATTCTGAACTCTGCCAAAAGCCTGAGAATTTAGGGTTTGTACCCACAAAGGGCATCCGTCAGGGGACACGGAAATGAGCAGGAACATTTGACAGAGACTTGGGGCCCCTAAATAAATGGCTAGTTTCCCTCTTAACACATTTGGTGAATATGGGATCTGTGTGGGGCAGGTTGCTAAAACCCTGGTAGAAAGACTCTGAAAGGTAGAGCCCTGCTTTTCATCAGTTTTGTGAGCAGAGATTAAAAGTTCAAACTGTTTTAGGAGATGACCTTCATGTTGGAAGGTCAAAGGTAGACTGAGCTTTCTTAGATGTACAACCCAGCCTCTGGATGTACAATTTAGCACAGCCTCTGACTGAATCAAAGCGAGTTTGCAAATGCGGGCGTGGCAAGGGAAGGGGACTACTGGAGACAGTCAGCGCTTCCTTGGTTTGAACGTGAGTGCCACGCTGTTGATGCAAATCCTCTGGCCAGCAGGCCCAGGTCCATCAGGAAACACATGGCCAAGGTGAGCTTCGCACTGTAAGGAGAGAACACTCCGTCATCTCTGAGCTGGGACAAGGCTCTTTATGGAAAACCAGGCAGATGAACCCCACATGGCCGCCCCACTCCAGTCCTTGACATCACTGTTGGGGGAAAAAGTCTATCATATCTGAATTTGATTAAGAAATGAAAGGATGCAGAACACAGTAGTGGTAAACAGCTTTCTACTTAACCACTGAGAATGTGAGCAAGTGATTTAACTTAGGCCTTGATCTACTCACCTACAAGATGGGGATGATAATTATACCTACATAATAGAGCTGTTGTGATGACTAATGGACGTAATGCATAAGAAGCACCATTCCTGGGTAAGAAGTCAACAATCTTCAGCCAGGGTATTATTGCTGTTTACTGAAGCCAAGACTAAACTGTGTTTATCTGCTTGCCTCTGGTGTCTTACAAAATCAGAACATTTGAGCACCTGAGGATATCAAAATGAATCTGCTGCCAGGATTTAAGCCACTCCCTCCTACCAGGCTCACGGGAGGAGCAACGCACTGATGTCACTTGCCGCATTGCTCTGCCTGTTGGGACGCTCTGCAGCGTGGGGAGGGGGCGGACAGATGCTGCCTGTCCTTGCTCAGCAGAATATGAAAGACTGACTCCTTCAGAGCCTTGCTCTGCTCCTATCTCTGTGAGGCGAGAGCCAGGAAAGGCTCCTTCTGTTACCTGCAGTGCTCAGAGGATGGGAGAGGGGGAGTGGCAGGATGGGAGAGAGGGAGTGGCAGGATGGGAGAAACCCAAAGTGCTTCCATGACAGAAGCACTCCCGGGGTGTTAACAGCAGATGTGCGAGAACAAGAGAGCTCTCTGTGGCACTTGGGGCAGCATTGGGGACAACAAAACAAAGACATCACCTGCTTGCAGACAACCTCCATGCGAGCTGGTCCCAACGAGGTGTCCACGCGTCTCAGGATCCCTGTGTTACTCTCATCAGAGCCAGACGTCCCGTGAGCCTCAGAGAATGAAGGCCACCCAGTGCCCGAGCAGTACTTCTTCTCAGAGCTGTGCCAGACATTCACAACACTCCAGCTGCTGTTACCAACGTACAAAGAGCATTTTCTGCCCCCAACTCATCTTTCTCCCGAGCAGGAGCCAATTCTCTCCTCCTCTGCCCGATCCCAGGGCCAGTTCCGTGAACGGCCGGCTCCCCAGGAATTCTGCCCACTGATCTCCCCTATTAAAGATGCTGTCTCGTCACGTCAGGTTTCTTGCTCCTCTGATGCTAAAGGCACCCCTCTTGATGTCTGACAAGGACTATAAACATGAGAAGCTTTGTGAACTGCTGCATATCAGGGAATAGGTCAAATCCATGCGTTCTGAATGTAGAAAAGGGGGAAATCAAAATGAAATAACAGTGGTCGAAGGAGAGAATTGTGAGTTTTGCACATCAGAGAAGCACGAGAATGCACAAAGCAGCCGTCACCAGCCGTAGGGACTTCGGGTCGTCTAAACACAAGCCTGCCTGCCTTCGAGAGTCAAGAGCTGCCTCTGCCTTCTTGGGTGTGAGAAACTGGACAAGCTGCTTAACCTCTCCAAGCCTCAGTTTTCTCATCTGTAACTCGGGGATAATAATATCTATGTTACAGAGATGTCCTGAGGGTTTAAGGAGCTGTGCCGTGGAGCACGTGGTAATAAATAAGCCTGGGCACCCGGACTCATCCCTGCAGCGCAGAGACCTTCCTGGGGAAGCCCCACAGGGATGAACGATGCTGAGGGTTCCAGGGTTGGGGGCGGGAGCAGAGGAGCCGCAAGAGGGGGAGGAGGCAACAGCAAGTCTGCTCATCAAAGACCCACTGTCTCCGTGTCCTGAAAGATGAGCTCCCTTCAGTTGCACTAGGAAAACAGATTTAAAAATTTTAAATGGCAGGGAAATGGCTCTCTCTATTGGAGGAAGACAGACGGGAAGTGAACTGAAATTCTGCAAAGAAAACCCAAAAAACAAAAAACAAAAAAACAAAAACCACCACACACAAAAAACAAAAAAGCCAAAAAACTGAGTCAAGAGAGGGAAAAAGTAGCAAATAATCAAATCCCTAGGCTATGTGCACAGAAGGAAGCTGAGTTTAGAGCAGAAACCTCAGCAGAAATCATCTAGTGTAAGACGGCAATTCTCAAACATCCTGGTCTCAGGACTCTTCTGTAATAAAAAATTATTGAGAATCTCTGAGAGCTTCTGTTTACATGAGTAATGTCTATCAATACTTAACAAGTTAGAAATTACAAGTGAGGGTTTTTAAAACATGTATGCATTAAATTGTTTTGAAAAATAATAAATCCACTACATGCTAACACAAATAACCTATGTTTACAACAGATTATTTATTCTCCAAACTGAAACAAACCTTTAGCGAGAAGATTTATAATTGTTTTATAATTTTGCAGATTTCTTTAATGTCTAGCTTTAAAAAAAGACAACCAACTCTTCATATGTGCCTGTGCATTCAAGCTGCTGCAGTGTCATTTTGACTGAAGTGTCGGAAGAGAATGTGGTTACGCACTTAGAAGGGGGAGCACCTCGAAGAGTCCCTAAAAAATCCCAGGAACTCTTTAAGAACCACAGATGGAACTCCGGTTGACTTCTGAGAGACCTGGGTGTGAATCCAGGCTCGGCCTATTATGTCTAGGTGACTTTGGCAAGGTGTTTAATCTCATAATGCCTCTGAATGGTAATGGCTTTGTTAACTCACAGGGTTGCTGAGAGGATAAACTGAGATTCTCTCTATTTTTAGTGTTTTTAGTATAGTGTCCGGCACATGGTACCTAAGTCAGCAGCAATTATTTTTAATATCATTACTATTGTTAATAATATACCCATGAGATTTGAGCACCTGGGCCCAATGTGAAATATCTGCACATTCATATTGGGTTCTTTCCAACTCCTTTTCTTTCCCAAGGGTTCAAAAATATTCATCCAGGCCACTGTGGTCCAGAGAAAACCATTTTAAGTATCTTTTAACCATAGCTTTTCCATCCTCAACATTATATGTAAACTAGTGATCATTAAAGGAATGTTGATGGAGAATTATAAATATAATAATTTTTTAAATGAATCAATCTAAGACTAATAAAAAGTCATTTAAACATTTTATGGGCAACAGACAACTTTTACTGATGCAATTAACAGAATCTGGAGATTTTACTGGGTAATATAAGAGGCCCATCATATTTAATTTAAGAGTGGAAACTTCAATATTAAGGCCAATTAGAAATTCCAACATATATACTGAAATGATTGGCAGATTGGAAGGCCCACCGCTGAAAAACTGAAACCATTCTGGGTCATCTTCACTCATATACTCGAAGAGGTGTTTCTTTTGTTTAGTTTTGTTATCTGCTTATTTGCCTTATTTGTGTCTTCATTTCTGGAAATTCCATGTCCCCCAAACCAAGAGCAGAGGCACTTGGTGATAACTGGCCACCCACATGGTAGAGGAATTCCCATTAATTTGAAGGAGCGGAGGAGGGGCGATATAATACAGCTCAAGTGGTAGAGTGCCTGCTTAGCATGCATGAAGTCCTGCGTTCAATGCCAAGTACCTCCTCCAAAAATAAATAAATAAACCTAATTACCTACCCCCCCCCAAATAAATAAAAATTTGAAGGAGCGGAAGCACACAAAATGTTAATGTGTCACTTGGTCACTGACATGGAGGGTGGATGTCAGGATGCTCTGTAAAAAAGGAACTAACGTCAGGCTCTCAGTTTCCTTCTAGTCTAAGAAGATTTATGACCACAAAACACGTGATCCCACAGTAGAATTTAATAAACGCTTCCAGAGTTGGTGCTTGGGTTGCGGGAGGAAGGCGGATAGAGGAAGCAGGGAAGGGAGCAAAGTCACATAATTCCAAGGTTAACAAAGCGACAGTATGAAGTGCCCAAGGGAGTGATAACATCTCCTGGGGGCTCTTGACCTGGACACCCTGGATTAATAGTCTCTCAACTGGAGTCAGCAGCTCCCCCAGGACGTGCACCATGCTGGTCCAGAGTGAGGCAGCAAGGAGCCCAGTGGCCAAGAGGCAGTGGTCCCTCATCCACCTGATGCTTTAACTATTTCATTTCGGTTGACTTGTCACCTTGTTTTGACTCTGTACAAGCATCTGAAGGAATGTTTATTTCTTCTCTACCCCTATTCTCCATTACTGAGGCTGGAGACTGGGGACAGAGAGAGAGGGAAAAGGAGAGGTCAAACAAGAATATGTAAGGCTGTCTATCCTCCTGAATGGGAAGCACCATCAGGAATAGAGTCTTCATTCATAGATTCTCATTAATTAGAAGAGATTCTCAAGAGTTCCTCATTATCAAAGACACATTCACGTATACAGCCCTAAGAAGGATCTGTCTCTAAGAAGATATCACCGCTAAGGTGAACTGGGGGCTTGGCACATGTCAGGCATTGCTCTGGTGCTTTCACATGTATTAACTCACAATTCACTTAATCCTCCAACAACTTTATGAATTCAGTACAACTATCACCCTCATTTTATAGGTGGGGAAACTGAGGCACAGAGAGGTTAAGAAACTTGCCCAAGGCCACACAGCAGTGGAGCCAGGATGTACATCTATAGATGTAACCACTCTACTACACTGTTTCTCCTATAAACAAATGCATCTTTAAGAGTACATTCTGGAACATAGAAAGATTCTTATGAATATATTCTTATTTGGAAACAGCAACTAAAACTAAATGATTAAAAGGAAACAAATAGGCTGGCAAGTTGGCAGGTCAGTAAACTGGCCACTTGGTAAAAAGGGCTTTTGGAGAATTGGCTGGTTTTCTAGCTAATCTTGGCCACTTTACTACCTCAGTGACCTGAAGATGGTCATTCAACTTCCCTGATTTGGACTAGCATTGTGTTAATACAGTAGCTACTGGTCACATGTGGCCTTTTAAGTTTAAATTAATTAAACGTAAATAAAATGAAAAATTCAGTTTTTCAGTCCCACCAGCCTCAGTTTGAGTGTTCAACAGCCACATGTGACTGGTGGCTACCATAGTGGAAGAAGTAGATACAGAACATCATTGCAGAAAGTTTTACTGGGCAAAGCTTTTTGCTCTGATCTCTCAGGCCCCTCCCTGCCCCAGTGTTCTGTGATTCCCTGACTGAGTGTGCTTGGTGAGGGGTGGGATGGCTGGAACGGGGTAGGAAGAAAATGTCATCTTTACAGCTGCAGAAACTGGGATACCAAAGACTTAAGAGGCAGGAACACACTCTTGTAAGAACGATCTTGCATTTTTAGCTCTCGCAGTCTAAAGACAGAAACAGAACATCTGGCCGGTTACCACATAGTCACAAGGCCGTCCTTTATACTTTCACAACGTGGCTCTTTGGCTAAAAGCAGGTTGGCCATCTCAACATCCCAATTCTCCCCTTCTAACAGAACCAAAGGTCAGAGAGTAACGAGTGGCTCAGAAATGTGCACTCACTTTACGATGTCAAACTTAACCTACGTCTCCTAGCGTTCCCCAGGCCATCTTGGGCTGACTGCCCCCTTAGCTGTCCCCTCACCAGCCACTGGCAGAATAAGTGAATCTGGGCAAAGCCCCGTCCTTCCGTGAGCATGAAGGAAAATCAATCTTAATCGTTCACCGTCCTTGCAGGCGGGGTCTGGCTTACCAGATTCAGCCCACATTAGCAGCCAGCAGCTCAGGGAAGCCGGGTCTGCGCAAAACCCAAATGAAGCAGTGCCTAATGGAAGATTCACAGAGCTGGCTTGATTTATACTTTATTCTAAACCAATTTAGGGTTGATGTGGAGGAAAGGAAAACATCTTTGAAGTTCTGAAAAATAGGACTTCAAAGATGTTTTCCTTTCTTCATCGAATCTACTTTTTTAAGGCTGTTTCCTGCATGTCTAAACAAAAAAGCCTTTGTTGAGAGATTTCAGACCCTGATTGACTTAAAAGAGGCTTTGAAATCAAGGGACAATTAAATTTACTTTTAGCTACGCAGAAGAGGGCATGGTATTCACTGCTGTCAAGCACTGTGGCGAATCTATCCTCATAAAATTCTACATTTCCTAAATTAAATTATAAACCCATTTTTTCCTGGGAGAGATACAGTTTTAATCACATGGCCAGGCAAATGCCATTATGGTTCAGATTTCTTTAAATACCTCCCCAAGAAAAAAATTCTAATAGCTTTATCCTAAGGTGCCCACCAATTTTTATTTTTTTGTTATTTCTTGGAGATACAGAAAGAAAGAACATAGGCTAAGTCTTGTGAATTGCTCTAAATGCTAGAAATAATCAAGACAGGCAAGAGTTTTATATGTATAGCCCTTTTTTATAGCAACCAGGCCAAATGAGATAGGCAATTAAAAACATGGGGATGTATTTATCCAGGGCCGCAAAGAGACAGAGCTGTAAGAAGTTAGAGGTTTATTTTCTTTCAGTACCTCTCGATCCTTTCTCTCACCTGAAGAGTGGGCTGTCACAGCACACGCAGTGATACATCCCTGATTCCTTGTTATTCAGGTAGATTCCACTGAAAGGCTGAAAGTAAATTAGATCCACCATGTTCAGGTTTCTCATAACACTGGCAGGACATGATACAGTAGATCTAAATCCAAGATTAAGTCCCCAAATAAAGGAATTTTTGTACTAATTTGACAAAGTGCAAATATTACCAGAAGGAACATTACCAGGTGCCCAGGGAAGCAGCCTGCAGGCTTGTTTACGAACTGGCCTACATGGTAGCAAATATTCAAATTATGACGTTAATCATGCTTTGTATTTAGATAGCAACTTTCATCCAAGAACATCAAATCCATAGCACAGGAAACTATGTTCAATATCTTGTAATAGCCTTTAATTAAAAAAAAATGAAAATGAATACATGTATGTATATGCATGACTAGGACACTGTGCTGTGCACCAGAAATTGACACATTGTAACTGATGGTACTTCAATTAAAAAAATTTTTTTTCAAAAGACCTTAAAAAAAATAAAACATCAAAGTCTGTGAAAAAAACAAGAGAATGGGCCTCTGGACTGTGTAAGATCTCGGTCTCCATTTTAAGAGTTATTAGTACAACAGAAATCAAGTCTGCTGTCTGAAACACTGTGAAATCTCCCATTAAAGACAGGATAGAGATACATTAAAAACCAAAGCCCAGTGAGATTGGGGTTGTGCTCTTAGTATGCTTCACGTGGTGTTTAGGATACTTAATAAATGCCAAATAATGAGCTAGATTCTCCCAGTGCCTAAGTTACTACTCAGATGAAATTACTATATTAATTGTGGCTTAAAGAGTTTGCAGGTTCCAAGAGGGACACAAGGAGACTTGAAGCAATGAGTGAGCCAAATCTAATATTTAAAAAAAAAATGTTAGTTTGTAAACTGACCTCATTGGGGGGAAAAAGACTATTTTTTGTCCAATTCCTTTTGTCATCTCCTCTGTCAAAGAAAATTCAAGAAAAAGAAACTCTCACACGAGCCAACTGTGAAGATCCACCAGCGGTGTCCGGTGACAACCACTGTCCCCACTTATGGAAAAGCAACTGAGACACAGGATGGGTCACCAAGTCCCAGAGCTGACTCGGGAAGGAAGCGGCCCTCTCAGCCCATTCTGGGTCTCCCACCTCAGCAGATCCACAGGTCAGACATTCCAACTCCCTGTTGGAGGATTAAGAGCACATTTTCAGGGAGCTGCATAACGGACAATTTCAAGTTGACCTATTGTGTCCACCAAGGGCACATCTGGATGTTTTCCCTCTTTAAGAACCCTAAACTGGCTGCAGACACCCGAACAGTAGTGAGCTGGTCATTTTACGGCCTGTCCCCTTGAATGGTCAGTCTTCCCAGAGCTCAGAGCAGAGTGAAGCCTGCAGGTGGCAGACCTGGAATGAAAAGAAGGATGCGCACAAAACCTGCCTTCTATCGCTATTTGACATTTAGTTATCACTCAACCAGGCTGTAAACCCCTTCACTGTACCTAGCAGAGGGCTAGCAAATTACTGGTGCCCAGTAAGAAACCATGTGCAACTGGACTTGAAGTCACCAAAGAGAAAGCTTAGATGTCTTACTTCTTTTTCCTTGGCCCCACAGAGCTGACTGAGGCCGTAGTTCTGCAACATTCTGAAGAGTTCAATGTGGAGACGGATCAGCTGAAAGGGGTTTATAACATCACTTAAAATAATGGATGACGCTCATTTTGTAAAACAGCCAAACGAACAGAGTATATGATGCCATCTGTTTGAGACTCCGACACATTTATGCTGCTGAACATCTGGCACGTCTCCAGGATGCCATCTCCAGCTCCGAACCCTGCCTGGCCCTGCCCCTCCGACAGGGCGGGCATAGACTACTCTGGGAATACACACCACCGCACAGAGGACCACGTGTGGCTCCCGGGTGCTATCTGCGCAATGGCTAATGTGGTCTCCTGCCCACTGAAGCCTTTATTAAAATCCCACCCTCAGGAAGTTTTCAAAAATACCAGTATTTCATGAGAATCGACTGGGATCTGCTGGCCTGTCCAATGGCTTTAGCATCGGTGCTGAAGTTGAGGGTGAGACCATGATTATAAGTCCATAAGCACATGCACAGCGTCCAGAATTTGGCAGGGACTGCTAAATTCAGGCCATGTTTGGGCCTAAGACAGACTACTTGCTGGGAAACGCAACACTGTGAAAATGGGATTATAATGAGGAACCACAGAGGGCTGGTCTCTCAGGAAATGAAAGAAAGCCGAGTTGCTGAATGCAGTTTCAATCACATGTCCACCTCCTGACCTGTAGTCACTCGACATTCACAACCACTTATTTTTTGAGCGCCTACTATCGCCAGGCACCACGCTCTATGCAGGGATGTACTGATGACGGCAAGTGCTAACGAGGGAAAGTAAAAGCAAACCCAGTTAGGGGTTGAGAAGGGCTTCCCAGTGGGTGTGAGATGGGGGCCGAGAGCCGAAAGGTAGATTTGAGTGAGGCTGGGGGCCGGGGAGGACTCAGGGTGAAAGAGCTTTAAGGCAGAGGGGAGCCCAGGGTGTCTGAGAGCTGAACGGAGGGTAGTGTGGCCCAAGGGCAGAGGTCAAGAGGAAAAGTGACCCAATTTGAGGATGCAGGTGGGAGGTAGGGGCCAGAGCCTTTAGGGCCTTCTTAGCCAGTTTTAAACTCTTCTCTTTACCTTGAAAGTGGTAGGAAGCCAGGGAAGAATTTCGAGCAGAGGGTGATGTAGTCAGATCTGAGATTTCAGAAGGTTTCTTTGGCAGCTGTGCAGAGAACGGCGCAGTGAGGGGCAAGAACAGCTGTGAGGAGACCAGCTGGAAGCTCCTGCACCCAAGCCAGAGATGGTGGGAGCCTGGACCAGTGTAGATGTGGGGGTTGCAGGGAGACGTAGAGGGATGGGAAGGCTGTTTAGGAGGCAGAGTGAATTGATGAGGTGATGGAGGAAAGTTTGTCCAGAGGAAGGTTTTTGGTTGTACAGCTGGATGGAGACTGATGCCCAGAGAAAAATGCGGGAAGCCTGGGGGACCAGATTTGCAGAGCAGATGACGAGTTAGGGTTTGTAGTGAGATAGATTCTAGTCTGTCCTTCCCACTCCAACACATAGACCCAGAAACTGTACATCAGGGTGGCTTACTGGCTCCGTCCCTTTTTCTCTTGTGACGTGGAACTGCTCGGGAGTCAACTTCTTCTGCCACTCGCTCTTGGAGAGAGTCGGCCCACGCTTTGTAAGGGAGCCTGTAATGTCAAATAGGAATTTTTGTTAATTAAACCAAAAGGCACAATGACCTCTTCTTCCTTAGCCTCTGTCCTCAAGTGCAGTATCACCCAGCAGAGTAAGCCGCCCCTTCCCCTCCCTCCCACCCCTTTCTTCTCAGTGACTAGAAAGTTCATGTTCAGAAAGCTTTAATTGACTCATTAGTTTAAGAAGAAATGAGTAACAAGTAGAGAGCCAGTTTTCCAGTCCCGCTGAGCCACAGAAGCCAAAGAGGTAGCTGTACCCCTGGTAAATATTACAGTGCCTTGGTATTTAATAACTATTCATCTCTTCAATCATCTGGTCACATCTACAGAGCATCTACTATACTGCAGACACTTCTAGATGCTAGGGATACAGAGGTAAAGAAAACAGACAAGAATCACTGCCCTTATGGAGTTGAGGTAAAGTAAATTAAGAAAAGAATATAAAACTTTAGGTGATTATTTTTTCCCCAAAATCACAAAGAAGATTAGAGAGTGTGAAGGGGTGTGTGTATAGATATTTATGTATATTACACACACAATTTAAAACAGAGTCGTGAAGGAAGGCCTTCGTGAGTAGGTGACGTTTCAGCAAAGATCTGAAGGAAATGAGCAAACCCCGCGTGTGAGTATCCAGGAGAGCGCTGCCGGGGCGAGGGGTGACAGGCTGGGCACACCCGGCATGTTTGATGGACAGCACAGAGGCCGGAGTGACTGACCGGGGTGGAGGTGGCAGGGAGGGGCCCTCATCCCTATGGTGGTGTTTGGAGACAGTGTCTTTAAAGAGGTGATTATGTTTCTATGATGCCATCAGGATGGGCCCTAACCCCATCTGACTGTTGTCCTTACATGAAAAGAGAGACACCGGGATGCAAGAGGACAAAGCAAATGCCGTCTGCGATCCAAGGAGAAACCAAGCCTGCCGACATTCTGACCTGGGACTGTCAGCCTCCAGAACAGTGAGAAAATAAATGTTCGCTGTTTAAGCCCCCCAGCCGCTGGTATTTTGTCACGGCAGCCCTAGCAGACTTACTTAGGAACAACAGAAGTTCAAATGGAAATTACATTACGGGTCAACTTTGCACAGTTTTACCGCAAGCAATGCAGGTGCATGTTCACAGGACACACAAGCAGGTCCCACTGAGGGCTGAGACAAGCCTTGGCCCCCGTGGAGAGAGCAGGATTCAGAGTTGGTCTCCTTTTGTGTGTGTGCAGGTGTTTTCTGTCCTCAGGCCACATCCTCTGCACCTCGAGCTGGCCCTTTTGGAACTGCCTGTCATTCTCCGCATTCACTCGCTGTCTTCACTACCAAAAAGTCTGCCTGCAGCTGCTCCGGCATTAGATAGATACACGGCTGTACCAGGGACTAGGCGTTGAGAACCTCCAAGCCCACTGGGGTCCTCTCTCTCTCTCTCTCTGTGCTGCGATTTGCACAGGCTATCTTTCTCGCTAGGCATATGTTCTAGGAGATGGACTTCAATTTTCCCACCTTTAAGGAAACCCACTCTTGGTCCTATGACCCCCCCCACTGGTTACCTCCTTCTGCCTCTGCTAACCTTTCTGGCCAAAGCTGCTCTACTGCCAAGTGTCACACACGAGCCAGCCTCGTTTCAATACTGGCTGAAACTAAGAGAACCTGTTAGGAACTGGTATAGAAAGAATTCCCAGCCCACTCTACTCTGCAGACTAGTCTCCCCTCCCACCACAGTGACTGAACTGTTTACCCTTATGCTCAGAATGGTTTCCGAGCAGAGTATCTCTAGAAAGAATGTTTCCTGCGACAACAGATTGTCTTCTCCGGGACACTTCCTACTCTGCTCTTTGTCAATCCAGATGCCTCGTGCATCTCAGACGTCTCAGTGCTGGAGAAAAGTGAGCCTTCACTTTCAACATCTTCTCACCCCTACCCCCCGCCCCCGACTTCCCCAAGTCCACAACACAGGTTAACCGTAGCTACGCTTTTATCCTTTCCATTTATTTATGTAATTATAACCCGTGTTTACTGTGTGCTTCCTAAGTGCCAATATTGTAATAAAGCATTTTTAGTTCCTTTTTTTCATTTACTCTGTACAACAACCCTACTATTATCATTATTCTTATTTTATAGAATAAAAAAACAAAAAACAAACAGGTGTAAACTTACGAAGTTCAAGATATGCCCAGAGACACAGGGCCAGTGAGTGACACTGTCCACACTGAAGCTGCCTCAACCACAGAACTATTACCTATCATTTTTAACAGATGCCTACTAGTTTGTTGAATTGAACTTTTATGGTTTGCTTAAGCATTCCTTAACTGATGGACATTTGGGTTATAGCCAGTTTCTGGTTCTTAAGAGCAGTGCTGTTAAAAACATCTCTGCACATACAACTTGGTTCTCTCTTGAATTATTCCCAGGAGTTGGTGTCCTATTATGTTTTGGTGTCTGGCCAAATTTTAATGTTGCTGAAGAACTTTAGATTCCAGGGCAATTCCTTAGGCTGTTTCCAACAGCACCCAATACAAACGGAAGGACAAATTTCCACTGAAACCACCACCCTGTAACAGGGGTATGAGAGGGCTCCAGCCCGCAACTGTGATGTTTCCAACACCTGTGGTTCTCAGGAAGCCGACGCCTGGCACAGGGTAGGCACATGACAAATACCAGACTGGCTGACTACAGACACCACGGTCTGAAGGCCATGGCCACAAGTCATATTGGATCAGTGTCCACGCCCCAGTGCCAGTGCTTTTATTTATTTAACACTGCATTTTGAAAACTTCAAAGGATAGAAGGAATTCCAAGTGACTGGATACATTTTCAGCGGCAATAGGAATCTTTAAATGTCTTCAATGGACAAACAATTGGATTCAGAGATGGGCTGGCTGGGCAGTTGCCCAGAAAGTCAATCAACATGGGGCACCAGACTACCCTGCTATAAATCTGAAATACAGCGCCAGTTGATGCAGTTCTCCAAAGGTGACTCCGTGCTGAAGGATGGAATGTAAACGAGCCCCGATCCCACAGGTCAGCCAAAGGCATTTTGCAGAAAATACACTTCTCCCTGGAGGGTCTCACATCCACTGACTAACAATGGTTATCAGGCTAAAGGGGGAATGGATTATTACCCAACATGTTTCCTTGGCTCCTGCAAACGCACAGAGAAATAGAGCAGAGCAGGAAGAAAATCCGCAGGCATCCAAAGTCTGAACTGCTTGCTTCTCCGACGCTGGAAGACCCAAGTCGAGGAGGGGGACAGTGTTAACAGACCAAAGGCTGATACAAACGAGCACGCGCGGGGTCGGGCTGCTGACCCAGCACCGGGGTCCTCCACCTGGGCGCTCCTGAGCCTGACATTTTATGCCAAAAAAAAAAAAAAAAAAAGCACGTTTGGGGAGAGGATCTATATACCTTTCCACCAATTCTCACAGGCGTCAGTGACCCCCGCCCAAGCCCCTGCTGTCCCGGTCGGGAGGAGGTGAGCGAGCAGCGGCGCCCCGAAGAAAAAGATCCAGAACCACCACTCGGGCCCCTGAGTTCCAGCAAGTGAAGGAAAACCGAAACCGAAAGCCGGGAGGTGGCGGCGGGGCCTGCGACGCCCGCGTCCTACCTGCGTCCCCGGGCCCGCTTCTCGCGCGGAGGCCGCCGCTGTCCGCTCGGCACCGCACCGCCCGCCCTGGCGCCGCTCGGAAAGGCAGGCGCCCGAGCGCACGGAGGAGGCGCGCCATGGTGCTGCGCGCGGCCCCGCGGAGCCCACGGTCCGGCGCGTCCCCAGGCGTCGCCGAGCGCAGGCCCGCAGGCCCTGC